CCCCCCCCACAGACATACACCAACCACCAACCCTTATTCTCTTTACTCACCTCACACACTCTTTACACCCTCCTCCTCCCACGGCAGTCCCCCACCTTGACCCACGTGATTTGATTTCATAACAGTGATGTCACATCACACACCAAATCGGCAATGTTTTTCCACACATGTGAATTTGGTATCATTTATGGTCTATCACGTTGTATCACATAGGCCTACCTAGGCGTAGAGGCGGTAATACGAAATTGCATGTAAACTGCAAGCTATCTTCTAAATACGAATTACAGACGGCCAGATCTTCAGTGACTTATTCAAAGGAGGGGGGGCATCAGAGTGCACGTTCCTTGGGTGAAAAGTGTAGGCCTACAACAAATTATTATGAAAAGGGGGGGGGGGGTTGGTGTCATTTCGATGGTATGATAGAAGGTGTTGGTTGCTTGTTAGGGGTTTAACGTCGCTGTAAAGGCAAGATGCGGTAGTGTAGACAGCTTTACTTTTGCGAGCATTTTAATTTCTCGAAAGTAATATTAATAGCTTGCGAAAATAAAGAGTAACCACCGTGGAAGCAGCAATGTCGACTCGTTTCTATGTTAGATAGAGCGAGCAAGCTATTTTTAGGTTCTCTACTAATATTAGAGAACGTAGACAACTTGTATACGTTCTCTAACGTTAGAGAACGTAGACACTACCATGTACAGGTGCTGTTTTAGCCTCAAATAACCGCCTTGACCATCAGTAATTTATTTATAGAGGCACTGGCACTGCCACTTACTAACCACCATTTTCTCTCCTCTCTGACCCAACAGATCTGAATAACCGCCATTCTCTCTCCTCTAACAACCCAACAGATCTAAATAACCGCCATTCTCTCTCCTCTAACAACCCAAAAGATCTAAATAACCGCCATTCTCTCTCCTCTAACAACCCGACATACCTAAATAACCGCCATTCTCTCTCCTCTAACAACCCAACAGATCTAAATAACCGCCATTCTCTCTCCTCTAACAACCCAACAGATCTAAATAACCGCCATTCTCTCTCCTCTAACAACCCAAAAGATCTAAATAACCGCCATTCTCTCTCCTCTAACAACCCGACATACCTAAATAACCGCCATTCTCTCTCCTCTAACAACCCAACAGATCTAAATAACCGCCATTCTCTCTCCTCTAACAACTCGACATACCTAAATAACCGCCATTCTCTCTCCTCTAACAACCCGCCATACCTAAATACCCGCCATTCTCTCTCCTCTAACAACTCGACATACCTAAATACCCGCCATTCTCTCTCCTCTAACAACTCGGCATACCTAAATGACCGCCATTCTCTCTCCTCTAACAACCCGCCATACCTAAATAACCGCCATTCTCTCTCCTCTAACAACCCGCCATACCTAAATACCCGCCATTCTCTCTCCTCTAACAACCCGACATACCTAAATAACGCCATTCTCTCTCCTCTAACAACCCACCATACCTAAATAACGCCATTCTCTCTCCTCTAACAACCCGACATACCTAAATAACCGCTATTCTCTCTCCTCCAACCACCCAACAGATCTAAATAACCGCCATTCTCTCTCCTCCCTGACCCCACCACCCCTTAGACGTCTGAGAACTGTCTGTACGTGAATGTGTTCCGGCCAGCCTACACCCCCGGGGCGGGAGAGACGTTCCCTGTGATGGTTTACGTCCACGGCGGGGACTTCTCCACGGGCTCAGGGGCCGCTCAGGTCTATGACGGGGACTACCTGGCTTCTCGCGGACACGTCATCGTGGTCACTTTCAACTACCGACTCGGTGAGTCATTACGCTAGAACTGGTGACGTCATTTCGTGTTAGTTTTGTTTTAGTAAGGTTTTAAGGCGCTCTCAACTGTATACGATCCCATGAGCGCAAAGGGGTGGATATCAACAGAGAAGTCTGAACGGGGAATCGGGGTTACTCTGTTTGTTTAAGTAAGGTTTTACGGCGCTCACAACTGCATAAGATCATAATATGAACGCCAAGGGGTGGATGTCAACAGAGAAGTCCAAACGGGGAATCAGGCTTACTCTGCTCACCTCTCTAGCCTAAACAGCACGAAGTCTACTTCAACTATCAAGGAACCCCGGAATTAGCAGTTCACAAGAGAGTGACAAATATACAAAAGAAGTAGAGGAAAATTAAGATAGTAAGGATGGGGAAAGAAAAAGCAGCAGCTCCCCCTATGTTGTTTCCGCACAGTATGAGCATGGCATTGATAAATCAGCCTATTTGCAATTCTACTGTGCATAAGAACATGTTAATCCCCCCTCCTTTTTAAATGGCTAAAGACAACTTCAGTCAGTGGCAATGTCCTTGGGGGGGGGGGGGCATTTAGTGTGAACCTGAACTTGGCAGTCTTTATTTTGGTCATTTGTGAGGCAGCGTGGTGGAATCAGGCTCTCGTCAAAGTAATCAAAGTGAAGAAAGTTGCATTTTCCCGCAGGTTTGTGAGTTTTCATCAAATTTTTGTTTTTGGGCCCAACACCTTTCATGCCCATTAAAGAACTCATTTCCGTGTGGATTTTTCATGAAAACGTTGATTAAAGGCACAAAAAATGTAAATGTTCAGTTACCACGGACTCTTAAGCTAAGGAAATAACTAATCTCTGGTGGCCATGTTCTCACTAATTTTACCTCTGAAAACAGGTGACCCCCACCTCCTTCATTCTCAAATATCTCGACTTGTATTTAAGATAAGCAGATATTTTTTTCATCCAATTAAAGACAAGTAAACAAGCTTAAGATGATACCAAAAACTCTATGTGCCCAAAAATTGGCGAGAGCCTGATTCCACCACGCTGTCTCACATGTACATTTTTTGTTTTGTTTTGTTTTGTTTTGATTTGTTTGCTTTGTTTTTGGGAGGGGGGAGTACGGTATAACTATAATATTATTACCATTGTAGTCACTTTCAACAACTGCCCGGGTGAGTCCCCACGCAAGGGTTGGTGACGTCACATTTTGTGAACTCGGAGGTTTCTGTCTTGGTAATATTTTAGGGAAGGTATTCGCTTTTAACACCCGCCTTGACGAGTCTATACGCAAGAATTGGTGACGTCACTGAGTGTGAACGTGAACTTGGAAGTCTTTATTTTGGTATTTTTGTTTTTAATATATTTTTTTCGTTTATTTATTAATTTTTTGAAAAATTACAGGGGGGGGGGGCAGTACGGTGTAACTATATCATTGTAGTTACTTTTGACTACTGCCTCGGTGAGTTCCTACGCAAGAACTGGTGAAGTCATTCCGTGTTAACTTGGCAGTCAGTCTTTATGTCTGTAATATTTTGGGGGCAGTAAAGAATAACAATATTATCATTGTAGTCACTTTCAACTACCGCCTCACAAGAACTGGTGACGCCTTTTACAGTGAACGTGGCAGATTTTTTTTGGGGGGGGGTCATATTTGGAGAAGAGTACGGAATATGATATTTAGCTTAAATATGGTCATTGTAGTCACTCGGTGAGTCCCTACGCAGGAACTGGTGACGTCATTTCGTGTGAATTTACATTTTCATTTCTTTCGTAAAAAATAAATGAATTGATTCTTGATTTCGTTTCGCTGAAAGAAATGAAATGGCACATTATGTTTTTCGTTCGCTGAACTAACTGAAAATGATCTTTGCTTGAGTTAACTGTCACAATCTTTGCTTTCTTTCACTGAAATAACTGACACAATCGTTGCTTTCTTTCACTGAAATAAATGACACAATCGTTGCTTTCTTTCACTGAAATAAAAGACACAATCGTTGCTTTCTTTCACTGAAATAAATGACACAATCGTTGCTTTCTTTCACTGAAATAACTGACACAATCGTTGCTTTCTTTCACTGAAATAACTGACACAATCGTTGCTTTCTTTCACTGAAATAACTGACACAATCTTTGCTTTTTTTCACTGAAATAACTGAAACAATCGTTGCTTTCTCTCACTGAGTTAACTAAAACAATCGTTTCTTATTTCACTGAAATAACTAAAACAATCTTTGCTTTCCTTTCACTGATAAAAATACAACTTGAAATGATCTTGTCTTTCCTTTCGCTGACACCTCCAGGCGCCTTCGGCTTTCTCTCTATCTTCGACGACTACGGGGACGCGGTGGGGAACTTCGGCTTCCAAGACCAACAGGCCGCCCTGGAGTGGGTCCAGGTCAACATCGCAGCTTTCAACGGAGACCCCACAAAGGTAGAACATGACTGAAGATTTGACTTAACCTTGACATATGAATAAATAAGTATGTTATAATAAATTACAATTTTATTGATCCCAAAAGGGCAATTTGGTTCACAATTTCAAAGATACATACATAAATATAATTATAAATACGTATCATATCTTATTTTATTTTATCTCATCTCATCTCATCTAATCTCATGTTATTTTATTTTACGGTATGTTATGTAATCTTATCTTATGTTATCTCATCTCATCTCATCTCATCTCATCTCATCTCATCTCATCTCATCTCATGCCCATCCCATCTCATCTCCTCTCATCTCTCCCCCCCCCCCTTCCCCACAGGTGACTGTAATGGGTGACGGCGCAGGCTGTGTGTCAGTGGTCAGCTATCTCATCTCATCTTATCTCAACTCATCTCATGCCTATCTCATCTCATCTCCCCCTCCCCCCTCCCTTCAGGTGACAGTGATGGGTGACGGCGCCGGTTGTGTGTCAGTGGTCAGCCATCTCGCCTCCCGCCGCTCCCAGCCTCTCTTCACCTCGGCTGTGCTTCAGAGCTGCCCACTAGCTATTCCTTACCGCAGCGAGGCGGAGGCCAGGCGCCAGGCCGAGGCATTCGCCCAGGTCATCGACTGCGCGCTCAATGACGTCATCTGCTACCGCCGGAAGACAGAGGCGGACGTCCTGAACGCCCAGCTAGCCGTGGGAGCGGAGAGGTACAGCGGGAACATGCTCATGACCTTCTACCCCTGGGGCCCGTCCATCGATAACAAGGTCATCGTCTATCACCCCGTGGACGTTTTCAAGGAGGTGTCACGCTTTGAGATGAAGCCCGTTCTCATCGGCACCACGGATGAAGAGGGTTTGCACTTCGTGTTCAACCGCTTCCGGACTCCTCTGACGTCAGACTACTTCCGGGCGATCGTCAGCAGCGCTACAGGACGCAACGAGACGTGGGCTTTAACCAAATCGGACGCTCGTGAGGCCCTGGTTGGGTTCATTACCGAGTTTGTCTTTTCCTGCCCAGCGAAATTCGCGGCCGAGCAAATCGGTGAGAAATTCCGGCAAATGAAAGTGAGGACTTTTGGAAATTCCCGGAGTAGCTCGACCAGAGATTCCAGCTCGCCCCACGTATGGCTGTATAAGTACGTGTATCCTGAGTCTGTGTCGCTCACGGCGTCTGCTCAGCAAATTCGCTTGACAAGTGCTCTGTGGACACGAGGCCGCCCCAACCCAGATCTCCTCTGTACCGCCCGCTCATGCCACGGTCAAGACATCCGGACGTTGTTCAACTCAGAGTCGCTGCCGCTCGTGGAAAGACTTAACGTCGAGACTCTTGCACGGCAGATGGTTCGCTACTGGTCCAACTTCGCGAGGTCTAAAAGTGTCAATGGGAGAATCAACTCCCGGTCTTACCTCCGCACCCTCCAGCTTCGCTCCGCTCTTCTCTCAGACTCACCCAGTTCCCTCCCTTGGGCCCGCCCCCGGGGTCAGAGAATCAACATCCTGAGTCCCGGTTCTAACGGCCGGCCGTACATCTCCGTGCCTAGATCGGCGCTCCAGACGGCGCTAGCCTCCTTCACCTATTGGCCCGCATACTCTGTGAGTGACGTTGAGGGCGGGGACAGCCGTAGCAGCATGATGCTCCAGACTCCGCCCCTCACAGTGCGACGTTTCTATTGGCAGGCAAAATGTAGCTCGTGGAACTACTAGACGCAGAAAGCGACCTCAAGTGCTTTCTTGTCCTATCTCAATTTTTAATAAACAGTGTAAACAGTTCATAACAAATCGTGAGCTTAAGAAGAAGTCATTTTCTCAAGGTAAAAAAAAAAGAAGAGATATATCTAGGACAAGAAAGCCTGGATTTCTGAGCACGGGGGTGATAATTTTATGGAGTATCTCGGTCTTCCTGCTCGGTGGAATGTTGTATCCCTCTCAACCTGGGATGGCCGTGACAGGCAGGGTCGGAAACCCGTCTCAGAAGTGGTCTAAATTGTGTCGATGGGAACGTAAAACACGTACTTTAAAAACTAATCATTAGATGTGCACTTGTGTGAAGAGAACCCAAGCGATTTTCTGTGAAGAACCAGCCAGATGTGGAGCCTAAATAACTATAGGCCTATTATGCTTTTAGTGTTTTTAGATAAGATAAACTATGTGCTTTTAGTGTTTGGATATAAGATAAACTATGTGCTTTTAATGTTTGGAAATAAGATAAACAAAGCGCTTTCAGTGTTTGGAGAATTGAATTTACGATATGCCTTTAGTGGTCGGAGATTAGATGTCATTGTGTTTTCAGGCTTTAGTAAACAAACATAAACAAACTTGCCCGAAGGTGTCTTGTGAAAAAACTATGTACTAAATATATAACATAGTTTTCTTTCAAGAACCTTTACTAGTTTTCAAGCTTTCTAAAATTGTAATTAGTCCTGTATGCTGTATCCATTCAAAACATACAGAAATTAAAAAACGGAAACGATCAAACGCTTCGTCTCTGTCATGAATGTGGGTTATGACGGCAAGAATGTCATTCTCTTAACTTGTTTCAGTGTTTCCTTTAACGCTACCCCCCAATCCCCAAACCTCTCCCTCCTTAAACGATGTCAGAGGTAATCATGAGATACACACCCCCCCCCAAAAAAAAGAAGAAAAAGCAAAAAAGGAAAACCCCTTTTTTGACGCGATCAGAGCCCGGATTATACGCTAATACAGATAAGAGTGTTTCGTAAAAGATCAATTTGGTAAAATAATTTAACCAAAGCTTCGTGCACACACACACATACGCATACATAACCACACACATACCTACGCTCACACACAAACATACGCACACACACATACACACATACGCACATATACACACACATACACACATATACACACTTACGATGGGGTATTTGGTCTGAGTGTGAAGGAATCGTGGTAGAGTAATGAAATTTCTCCAGCCTTTAGGAAATTTCTTTTGAACACACAATGTACATTTTCTGGAAAATCCGACAATAATAAGGCACTAGTCAGCGTGTTCAATGAAACCACGCACAAAAACGTTTGGATTTTCTTTGGACGTGGCAATCACTCACACATATTATGTCAATACGAAAGTAGATACAAAAAGTATATTATTAGTATTATTTCTGTAGAAAGAAGGATGAGCGATCGAGTATCCTGTCTACCTCCCGGGACGGATGTTGTATCCTTCTCAGCGCGGTCAATACACCCCCCCCCCCTCTCCTCCCCAACGCATCCACACACACAAATGCACACACACATGCACACACACAAACACACACACATACACACACTCATACACACACATACACACACATACACACACATG